GTGTGAACACTTTCTTTAGAATCTTTTGGCTTTGGATTTGGCAAGGCAGACATAGATAACTCCATCTTGATTTTGACAGCTCTGAAGTTTTCTGAAACTTTCTTTATATTCCTCCTTTGTCTTTGTGATTATCTCTCTGGAGACATAGCTGACCTATCATGCTATAGTTACACTGCTAGTAACTCCCATTTGGTATAGCAGTTCCAGTTGCTGGTCTTACTTCATCCCACAGAAAAGTTCTGTGAGAGGGCGTGAGTGTGAAAAGAAAGAAAGAATACAGCCTCCAAGTCAGGTAGCAAATGTTTGATTCACAGCATCATATGAATTCCTCATAAGTTCAGAAGAGATCACTGCTGCTGTTAGTCTCACCTTTTCTTCTTAAAACATATTAAGGAGATTTTAGGAGTCAGTGACCTTTGAGGATGTGGCTGTGAACTTCACCCAGGAGGAATGGGCTTTGCTGAAGCCTTCCCAGAAGAATCTCCCCAGAGCTGTGATGCAGGAGACCTTCTGGAACCTGGCCTTATAGGTAAGGTGGACCTCATCTTTTGTGTAGAGAGCAAATATTTCTTGCTCACTAGTGTTGTTCAAAATTTTAGAATATGGGTGGGGGGTTTGCTGGTTAGCTCAGTTAAGTGCCTGCTCATGCAAACGCAGTCAGGCACAGGATACTGCAGTTCAATCCCCAGCTCTACCTGCCTTACCAGACCCACCCATAAGGCAGCCTGAGCCAGCCAAAAAAAAAAAAAATCCTTCTCAACTTTTGGGCCGGGGAGATAGCTCAATAGAATCAGTGCTTGAGTTCAATCCCCAGGACTGCAAAAAACAAAAACAAAAACAAAATAATTGGAATATGAAAAACAAACACTTTGGTGAAAAAAATTTAGCATGATCACAATAGAATATGAAACTGGAATTTAGCAATTTTTATATAATACAATAATTTATTATAATTTTCTGGTGTCTGCATTTTAGGTCAAAAATGGCAATACCAGACCATTGAAGAAAAGTATAAAACTCTCAACAGAAATCAAAGGTAATTTCCACAAACAAGAGAAGGCATTGCTCCTCACAAAATTTGGAGTGACAGGAAATATTTGAAAGAATTGTAGAAAACAATCCTAGCTTCAAAATGATTTCCTCTGAGAATTCTTTCCTTGAACTACATACAGATTGAGCATCCTTATTCCAAAACAGTCAAAACCCTAAATGCTGCAACCCTAAACTCTTGAGCACCAATAAGTGATATGTTCTCATGTATGCAAATTTTGTTACATGCCTAAAATTATTGAAAATGTATACTGCTACTTTCAGGTCTTCCAAGTAAGAAATGTGTGAGACATAAATTTTTTGTTTATACTTGGCTTCCATTTCTCAGACAGGAAGTATAGCAGATATTTCAAAATTCAAAACACTTCCTCAGTCATGCTTTATTTTTTTCCCTTAATAGAAAGAGTCTTGCTATGTAACTCAGGCTAGGTTTGAACTATTTAGCCCAGGCTGACTTTGAGCTCATGGCAGTTCTCCTACCTCAGGCTCCTGAGTGCTGGGATTATAGCATTGCCGTGCTCGACCCTCCCATGCATTTTGGATGAGGGATTCTAAACCTGTATGAAATGTAACTTAGATGTTCAGTGTTTGCATTGTAGTTACCTTGGAAAGAGTGCCAGCAGATCCATGTGACTATCAGTGTTTTGATACATAATCTTTTGAGCATTCAAGTCATACACATTCACACAATTCATATAGGGATAAAGCTGACACATGTCCTGATGACATTAAAATATAAACCTAGTACTTATTAGTAAGTGTTAAGTCATTCATAAGCAAGCCCCTTGTCACTCTTCCATTTCTGATATCAAGTACTACAGGGATTCTTTAAACATAAAGTGGACAACATGGAGAAACATTCAGCAAGCCTCCAAATCATAGTGTAAACAAGAAAACTGCTAGGGTAAAATGATGTAAAAGCCACATGTTTAAAGAAGTGGCCAATAATTTTTCACCATTTCCAAGAGATATCATAATTAACTATGGATACAGGCCATCTGAGTATCAGGGATGTGCAGAGAGGCCCCATGAATGTAAAAAATGTGATAACGTTTTAAGTGGCCCTGTGACATTCAAAATCATGAAAAGACACAGAGGAGAGAAACCTTATGCTTGTATGCAATAAAAGAAAACATTTGCTTATTCCACCTACTATTGAAGACATGTACAAATTCACACTGGAGGAAAAACCCTATATATGTCAGCAATGTGGGAAATCCTGCCAGTGTTCCAGTTTCCTTGAAATACATGAAAGAATCCACACCAGAGAGAAACCTTCTGTATGTAAGCACTGTGCAAAAAGCCTTCACTCATGCCAGTACCCTTCAAATACATGTGAAAAACCTTATGTGTATGAGCTATGTGGGAAAGTTTTCTGAGAATACAGCAAAATGCTAAGGCATGGAAAAATTCACAATGGGGACAGACACTGTGTATGTGAGGAATGTGGGAGAGTCTTCAGGAGCTATGGTAACTTGCAAAATCATGTAAGGACTCAGAAACCCTAAATATAGGATGTGGAAGGCTTTTTTATCCTACAGTACTATAGCACAACTGAGAATGCCTAGAGGAGGCGCTCCTATCAGGGTAGATTGAGGAAAGTCTCTTGCCACTGAGTTCCATTCACAGGGTTGAAAGAACACAGTATGGAAGAAATCATTAGTAGAACAGATGTGCAAAAATCTTTAGTTGGTCAACATGCAAGAATGTACACTGGATTGAAACTCTGTGAATGAGAAAAATACAAGAAAGATGTTGGTTGTAACAGTTTTGATGCCCTATAAAAATTTTTCTGTCTTGAAAGCCTATGAATGTAAGTAATATAAAGAACATAATGCCATACCTGATGTGAAGGAAACCTAAAACTTATGTTCTTAATAATCTAGCCATCATTGGTTTTTTGGGGCAGAGGTTGTTTGATCCAGTCAGATAGTAAAATTGTAATTATTTCACTGTCCTGAGGTAGCAGATTGTAGGTATTTCTTACATGGTGCGTACTTTTTTCTTTTTTATATTTTTATAACTGAGAATGTTTTTTTTTTTCCAGTTTTAGGATACATTTACAAAATACCTTTGTTTTGTCTTGATCTAATCTCTGAGGAGCATCATTTGGTGTTGTGTATAACTTTTTCATCAGACATGACCTTATAAATATATGAGGCCGACTGAATTTTTCTCAGCCTTTTTTTCTACTTGTCTATACTGAATGATTTCCTGCATTGCATAGTATACTCTTCTCCATAAATGCACGTGCTTTTCACTTTAGCGTGGGATTACATTTCTAAAAACCTGTAGTAAGAAAATATTAAAATTTGATGAAACAATACACCTAACCCAATCGTCATCACTGGTGTCCCCTACAATATGCTCACATCACTTACAAAAGCCCAGGGCCATGCAGAATCATCTAACAGGTCTGTTACATGAAGAGGTATTATAAATGTCATGTAAATTTTTTCAGTGAGTTGTGTAGGTTCCTTACTTTCATGATCATGTGTGCTTCTGCACAGCATCATGGGGATAAGGGAATACTGGGAACGGAGGAATTACCCATTCTTATGGCACAGAATTTGGCTGGATTTTTGTGTCCTTGGACTTACAAAGTGCAGATTTTCTAAGTGATGGACTAATATATGTGACACAAGAAATCCCTAAACTTAATTGTTTGAGTGGCTCCACTGACCTTTCTTACCATCTTAGAGTAAAAGGTAAGAGAGAAAGGTAAAGACCAATGTTTTCCTGGACATAGGACATTTCTCAGCCTCACACTATAAGGAATCAAAAAGTTTGCCAGGTAGAGAATAAATACCAAGGAACTGTCTGCACAAACACATACAAGATTGGTATGGATAAAAGGAAGTACAGATGGAGGCCGTGGACAGTGAACTTGCAGTCACTGTGGTGAGATTCATAGCTGCTGCTCCCGTCACGGCCCCATGTCGCTAGCACAGGATTTAATGGCACGGCCCACGGTGTCCATGGTACTGTGAGACACCGCTGAAAGCCACAGTGGTACTATTGTCCGAGCTCTCACAGATCACACTTCAGTCACGTCAGTACTGGTTCTAGAGGGCCAAATTTAGTTCTATCCGCTGCATTGAATAGTACAATAACTTGTCCACTTGGTTTTTGGTTATCCCCGGCCTCAAGAGTACAAGAAGCTGAGAAGGGTGGGTTTTGTGCCCGTACTTCAGTGTCTCAGTTCTCAGCCCAACAGAACCCTGCCTCGCGGGTGGAGCCGTTACTGAGATCCCACTTTAGTGACGCTCAGGATTGTCAGGTGGGGAGCTGCGGCGACTGACCGACAGGGCGGCATCCAGGTAAGACATGAAAGTGGGGCTCCTCTGAGACCCCAATAGTTCCTGTGGGGCACAAGCCAGTGACTGCCTCAAGAGCAAGATCCACGCAAGGTAGCCGAGGCGTTGGCTTCACCCAGGAAGTCACGGGAAGCCCGTGTTGACCTAGCATTCAGGAAGCCCAGGGTGAAGTCAACAATAATTCAGAAGGCCTCCCTATCAGTAGGTTCACGTTATATAGTTTCAGATCAAATACTGTCTGAAAATACGAAAAGGGCAAAAAAAAAAAAATGTAAATTTTACATCGTTGGCCATTATGAGCTGCTTTATTCAGTTTGCCTTTCCGTGTCCTCCACGTCACCTTTCCTTCAGCTTGTAGCTGTATGACGTCACTTCCGGGTACAAAACCACAACCGCTTGATTTTTTTTAGGGCTAAGCGTTGACAAAATAGCTCCGGGTCTTTTTAGGTATTCTTAATCCCATTGGGCCTAATGAGTGTACTAAACCCTCACAGAGGGTTTGATGGTGGTGGACCGTTGTCACTGTGCACTCCCCCGCGGGTGTGCGACCGAATCTGACGCTCCGCGGTAGGCGGTTCAGTGCCTGTTCCTGGCCAATCGGCGGTGCTGCGCTGCTAACTGCCCAATCAGGGGCTCTGTTATATGAAGGTACGCGTCGCCGCAAACATCGCGAGATTTTACTTACGACGCCGCCATAAGAATTTCCTGCGCGGGGCCTTGGTCCCCACTGTACATAGCGTCGGGCTTGGGGGCCACGGGGAGGCCCGGGACCCTCAGATCCAGGAATGGTGAGTTCCGCTGGCACCGGGCCCCGCCTGTCTCTCGCCCCGCGGCAGCACTGCCCGGGAGAGGGAGGGTCGGGACCGCGGCCGACTGCGGCTCTGGCTGCGATCTCTGCGGTGCGGAACTGAATGTCGGGGAGGAAAAGCTTCAGACAGTTTCTGTTTCCCTGGCTGACGGAGCTCGGAGTCTTCCGCCGCGGCCTCTCGAGGAGCTGCGACTCCCAGTCCGGTTCCCGGCTTGAGCTTGGTCGGGATGGCTGGAGCCGGGCGGGGCCTCCGCAGTGGGGCGGGAGCAGAGTCAGGCCCGAGGCGCACGCCGGCCCCCTGCGGGGCGGATGCTGGCGTTCCCGGCGTCCTGGCGGATGCTGTCCCTACCCTCCTTCCCGTCGCTCCCTCCCCTTGAGCCAAGATACCTTTCTGTTGGCCAGGTTGGGCTTGAAATTGGACGCCTCCAGTCTCAGCCTTCCTGAGCACTAGGATGACAGGCGCGTTCCACCTGTTCTGGCTTGAGGTTTTTTTGAGAATATGACGAGCTGATGGGTCCTCAGCTCGCTCGTCTGTTGGGGGCTGGTACCACATTTCAGGATGGTGTCCTGAGGCAGGGGAGATAGCTCAGGGGCTTAAGCGCCTGCCTGGCAGACGCAAGATCCTGAGTTTGATACCCCCTTACCACAAAAGAAAATATTCAAATGACAGAACTAAACAAAAAAGGGGATACAGACGAATGTCCATTTTGTATCTGTGTATTCAAAATGGTTAGGATAGATATATAGTTACATTCTCTTAATGAATAGAGGGATCTGTTCTAATAGTGTTTGTAAATAGGATATCATGTCTGCATCTTGTACAGCAAATAACCACTAGAAAGAGAGTATACAATGTGTTAATTACTAAAACTGACCTACCAGTTTGATTTGAAACTGTCTCATTGCTATTTGTTTCTCAGAATTATGGGAAAAAGGAAAAGCAAAAAGCAGGTGACCTAGATGGTCACTTTGGTGATCCAAGATGCTTCCATGGCTATTGGTCTAGTGGCTGTCAGGCCCTGGATCCTGGCAGGCAGTAGGAGTAGAAGGATGGGGCTTTTCAGGGATATTGGGCCAGGAGGAATCTCCTGTTGTACTTTTCACACAAACAGGTTCCCCTTTGGGAGCTTAAGACTTTCCTACCGCACCAAAGGTTCCATTCCTTGCACTCATTAGTGGTACCAGTAATTAGGTGATGATATTGAGAGGATGAGGTGGAACTGATTTCTGGCCGCTGGACTCTCTCAGACTCATGAACTAGGAAAACTCACCCAGTTGAGGTGTCAGAACCACAAATTACCATTCACTTTGGGCAGACATTAGTCACAAAGCAGTGTACAGGCACTGTGGGGCTGATATGAAGAGAAAGGTGACCTCACTTGGTGCTTAAAGCTTTATTCAGACATGTTTGACTTCTAGTTCTATGCCAACTGCCCCAGCATTTGTTATCCTCAAAATAAATAAACATGTTGGGCTTTAGATTTTCAGAATAGATGCTATAAAATATATAATAGGCTAGTTACAGTAGATTTCAAGGGAAAACATTACATTTAGCCTTACATTTTGTTACCATTTTTAATTTTATTCTCAGGCATGGTGCCATACACCAATAATCTCAGCTACTTGGTTTACATCAAAAGGATTTCATACTTCATCCTAGCCTGAGTGATGTCAGAAGAACCTACCTCAGATTTCAAAAAGTGAAAAGGGCTGGGTTAAAGCTCAACACTCCCTAGGTTCAATCCGAGATCAGAAACAAAATTTTATTTACAAGTTTTATTTCTTTTTTACAGTATATACAGTATATGTTCTGTTCTTTTTTGAGGGGTGGGATGCACTCACCTAGAATTCTAAAGCTTAATCTTTTTTTTTCAAAGTTTTATTGATAAACATATAGCAATGAGACAGTTTCAAATCAAATCGAAAGTATAGTTTCAACAAATAATATACTGCATATATTCTTCTTAGTGGTTAATTGCTGTACAAGATGCAGACTTGTGATCCTACTTACAAACACCATTAGAAAAAATCATTCTATTCATTAA